GTCCCTTAGAGCCACTTCACAGAAATCTACTAACAACTGATTTCCTAGGCAGCTCACTAGGGGTCCTGCCCCTCAAGGAAGCTGGTGCCAGCACCTGCTTGGCAGGGCCCTGTGCTGCGGGAGAGTCCCTTTGGCTGTCAGGAAGGCCCCTGAGGGAGGGGAACCTACCTGTGGCTTTCCAGCCCTGAGAATGCCACTGACCCCATCATCCCTAGAGTGGAGTGTGCCCAGAGCCTGAAGGCTGTATGACACAATGACCTTTTTCAAGGGTTTGAGTTCTTTGGGGTTTTTTTTTTTAACGCGAAACATTCATAGTTAGAGAAGAGGCTTAGAGTGTGGTAGGAAAAACCTGTGTTTAAGACTCTCCTAATGGTTATAATACCAACCATGTGACCTTGGGCAAGTGACTTGGTTCTCTCAGCCTCAGATTCCTCATCTGCCGAAGGGAAATGAAAGCTCCCACCCCGCAGAGCTGGGAGATCTTGCCTCAAACGCTTGGCCCGGTGCCGCCCCTGGCAAGTGCTCCTTCAAGTTGCTAACAACCCAAGTACCTCAAAGTTAAAAGGGAGCGTTTCCTCATCCCACGGCCCATTGATAACTGTTAAACAGATGGGGTGAGGATGCTTCCAGAATTTTCCTCTCTATATACAAAAATATGTACATATATAATTTTTGTTAATAAAAATGAGAGCATGCCATAATGCACAGAACGTTCTGTAGCTTGCAGTTTTTCAGTTACTGTGTCGCGGGCACCCTTCCATCTGCGTATGTACACCGGTATCTACAACTTTCGGTTTTAGAGGCTATGTAGCATTTCATGGTTTCTCAACCACTCTCCTATTGGACACAGCTTATTTCTAGTTTTTTCACTGTTATAAACAGTAAGTGCCAATTCAAGGCAGATTCAGGAGGTCCTGTAGAGGGGCGTTAGGTCAATGTCTTGTTTTCAAAGCAAGTTATTTTATCGTCTCATTTGGTTTTCACAAGAAACCTTACCCAAGAGGTGTTACCCCCTTTGCAAATGAGGAAAATGAATTTGTTGAGAGGGACAGACTTCCTAATTATCCTGCTAATGGTAGCAGAGGGGGCCTGGGACTATCCCCTTGGTTATATTTTTCATGCTTCTGGAGCAGGGGCTGCCAATGCAGGGGCCTGCAGGGGCCAGGCATGTGAGGAGATCAATCTAAATGACAAGAGACACTTGGCTTCAGTGTCAAGGCGAGAATAGGGAGCAGTAGGGGCTGTTTGCAAAGGAGACATTCTCGGTCTCTCAGGGCCAGACACCAACCACTTGAATGGTTGACATGCAGAATCTCCAGCCCTGGGTTGCCTGAGCTCCCATTCACCAAGAGAAGCAGGAAATGCAGATTTTTGTATAAATCTCCCAGATAACAAATAGAGCCAGCCAACTCAGAAATCTGCCACCCTCGCCTGCCGGATTGTGACCCCTGCTTCAGACCCAAACTTCGTTTTCTGCTTGTGATTATAAAACAAGGATCTAAGATGTAAGGCTCGTAGCTGGTGCCTGACATGACAGGCCCTTGGTGAAGGCCCCCGGGCCCCCACTGTCCTACCACCCTGTGAGGTTAAGTGGCCCATAAAAGACCATTTCACTTTGTGGCTTGTCCTCCCCACTTCAGGGGCCGTTTGTCCGCCGTCATTGCTGGGCTCGGGTGAGCACGCTTGACCCTGTCCACCCTCTCCTTAGCCTGCCTTGTCCACGTGTTTCCTGCCCACCCAGGCCAGAGCCTTGGGTAACGTGCCCGGTGAGTTTGTTGGGTGCCAGGTAAAGGTCACTGTGATTCCTGAAATCTGTCCGGTTCTCCTCCGCTATCTCGCCTCTGCTCCTCTAGGAGTGGGACCCCTGGTCACACTGCCTGGGGTCCCCTCCTGCTCTGTCTCTGGGTGGCAGTGTGGTCTTGGGCAGGTCCCTTTACCTCTCAGTGCCTCCGTGTCCTTCCCTGTAAACTAGAGGAAATGCTGTTAGGTGACCTCCTTCGGTCGGGTGCCTCTTACTTGCCAGCGGCTGTGCAGGTGCTCGTGGTACAAAGAGACCGTAGCCCCGGCCCTAAAGTGACATGAGCTTGCCCTGACTGTGTGCCGTCACCGGCAAAGAGCTGGCTCCGGGGCAGAGGAAGGCTTTCTCCTGTCAATGTCTTCAAGTTTTGAGATCTTGTGAGTTCCCGGGACCCAAGAAGGCTGTGGTCCCGACTCACTTGGGACGCAGACGCGGGCTGCCCGTCTCCTTTCCCTCCTGCTGAAGACTCCGGCAGACTGGTGTCTGGACCCCTGAGTGGGAGAGAGCGTGCCGGCTCTTCAGCACTTCCCTGCGGGCCCAGCTTCCTCACCGTCTGGACGTTCACTTCAGCCCAGGACCCACCTGCCCAGGGGAGAGGAAGATCCAGCCGACTCTCCTGGGCCAGTGACTCCCCCACCCTCCCCACTCTCCCAGCTTCCTGTGGTCCTGGTTCAAGAGCACTTCCCCTGGCGAGTCCAGTGGCCTTGTCTCGTCCCACGAGCCTACTTCTACACCCCCTCCACCTCTGCTGAGCCGTGACCCTGGGGCATGGACCCCCTCGCTGGCTATGCACCCCCCAGATGGCCCCTCTCTGGACCTGTTTAACTCACACTGAACAGGAGTCATCTCTGCCTGGGCTCAGTTTCCCCAGGAAGGGGCAGGACATGGCAGATGGGCTGCTAAGCCTCCAGCAGTGGCTTTAAATTTCACAATAAGACTTTCATTGCTCCCCTTTTTTCCCATTCATTCAACATATTTATTGAGTGGCCGCTGTGCCAGGCCTTGCTCTGGGGATGCCTCAGTGATGAATGGGACAAAGTCTCGGCCTACACATTTGAGTGGAGGAAGCAGATATGAAGCAAATAATCTCTCTAATGAATATAAAATTATAGAGATAAATCTTGTATCAGAATGGAATATAATTCTTGATGAGAGTATAATAAGCTGATTCACCCCATCTAGGACTCAACTAAGAATGTCAAGGGAGGGAGGAGGAAAGGGATGGTGCAAAGGCCCTGGGGCAAACAGGTGGGCAGTTCCTCAAAAGCCGAATGTGGAGTTACCATACCACCCAGCAATTCCACTCCTAGGTATATTCCCAAGAAAAATAAAAACATGTCCACATGAAAACTTGTACATTAATATTTATAGTATCATCATTCATAATAGCCACAAAGTGAAACAACCCAAATGTCCACCAACTAGTGAATGAATAAGCGAAACGGTATTTCCATGCAATGAAAATAGCCATAAAAAGGAATGGAGTATGGAATCATGCTATAATGTGGGTGAATCATGAAAACGTTATGGTAAGTGGAAGAAGCCAGGGACAAAATGTCACATATTTTATGATTTCATTTATATGAAATGTCCAGAATAGACAAATCCACAGAAAGTCGATTGTGGTTGCTGGCTGTATGCGTCAGCTCGGGCTGCCATAACAGAGTACCACAGACTGGGTGGCTTAAGCAATAGAAATTTATTTTTTCACAGTTCTGGAGGCCAGAAGTCAGAGGTCAAGGTGTTGGAAGGCGTGGTTTCTTGTGAGGCCTCTCCCCTTGGCTTGTAGACGGCGTCTCCTTCCTGCGTCTTCACATGGTCTTCCCTCTGTGTGTCTGTCCTAATCTCCTAAAACTCTAGTCTTACTGGATTCGGGCCCACTCCAGGGACCTCATTTTTCTTCTTTAAAGATGATATCTCCAAATGAGTCACATTCTGAGGTTCTGGGGGCTAAGACTTCAAGAGATGAATCGGGGGGGCCCTCAATTCAGCCCGTAACCCAGGAGGAATGGGGAGTGACTGCTAATCAGTACAGGGCTTCTTTCGAGGTGATGAAAATGTTCTGGAATTAGTGGTCATCAATGCTCAAATATGTGAAGGCACTAGAAATCGCTGTCCACTCTGAAAGGATGATCTTTGCCCCAGGACAAGGAGGAGCCTGGTTTGCAGAGAGGGAGAAGTATGGGGTGAGACCAGCTGGTGGGGTTGGCAGGGGCCCTGTTATGAGGGCCTCTCTCTCAACCCCAGGATCCCAGAACTTCAAATGTCTGCTTCCTGCATAAGACTTTGCCCCTCTCCACACGTCAGGCCTTGAAGCTCATTATTCGGGACACTTCCAAACTGGGATTTAGGATTGGAATTGGGACACTTTTTAAACCTTCAAGGGCCAACTTCTGTCCCTGGTGGGCAGTTCGCCGAGGAGCAGATGGACTCAGCGCGGGATAACCTCTGGCTCATCACCACAGTGTTTCCTGTGTGCCAGGCGCTGTCCTAAGTCCTTGTCCACTCGTAAGTCATTTAGTTCTCCTACCAATCCAGTGAGGTGGGTACCATTACTGTCTTGCCCAGGGTCACACTGCCCATACAGCCAAGCGGTGGAGTCAGAATCTGAACCCGCAGCCGGGCTCCAATGTCCACACCATTACCCCCTGCACTCTGTTGCCTCATAACAACCCTGTGAGTTAGAGTTTATTAGCCTGTTGTTATCCTAATTTTTACAGATGAGTAAACTGAGGCCCAGGGAGGTGAGTGACTTAGCTTGGGTCATGCTGTGAGTTTGGATGAGATGTTGGGAATGGCGTGGGCACGTGCACGGATAAGTGAGCTCTGCGCCGGGTGAATCACAGGAACAAGACCTGGGGGAAGAGTGGGTCTGGGGGGGGAAGGTTGTGACGGGAGAGGCACGGCTCAGGCTGGGCTCCTGCCCCAGCCTCCCTGATGCCTGTGTACCCAGCCTCGTCCCTGCTCCTTCCAGCTCTCAGCCCATCCCGGGAGGCGGCTCCTTGGCAAGGCTGCAGAGAGGGCCTGCCCTGCCAGGGGGTCAGGATCGGTGTCAGAGGTGCCAAAGAGACACCGAGGGGGTGCCCAGGGGGCAGGGTGCCTGCACCCCTGGGAAGCCACCTCCCAGCCTGGGGATTTGTATGGCAGAGGCCCGCGTGACCTTGTGGCTGACATTCCTCAGTGGCCACGTGGCCCCAACTGGCAGGGACAGCTGCGGACAGGGGCCGAACCAGCTTTGTTCCCAGGGTGGCGCCCGCTCTCCATCCAGGCCCTGCTCGGCTCCTGCCCAGAGCTGCTATCCTTGGCGGGGCTCAGTGGGCCGCTGGCACCGTGGGTCCCCCCGCTATGAGTGCCTAGAGACACGGAGCCACCAGGGTCTCTCTGTGTGGGGTGCAGGGCTCGAAGGATGGGGCAGGACCAGACAAAGCAGCAGATCGAGAAGGGGCTCCAGCTGTACCAGTCTAACCAGACAGAGAAGGCGCTGCAGGTGTGGATAAAGGTGCTGGAGAAGAGCTCGGACCTCGTGGGGCGCTTTCGCGTGCTGGGCTGCCTGGTCACGGCCCACTCGGAGATGGGCCGCTACAAGGAGATGCTGAAGGTGGGGACACCCGGTGGCAGACACGGGAGCGTGGGGCCAGGCTGGATTTCTCCCAGGCTTCGCGGCCCCCCTCCCGCCTCCTGAGGCTCCGATGTGTCTCCCAAGCTGGGGGCCAGGGACTCTGAGTCCACATCTGAGGCCTTGGGTCCTAGATGCTGGGTCTTGGCTTCGGATTTGGGCCTGTGGCCTTGAGCTTCAGTGCCTGAGGCTCTGAGACTGAGGTCCTCACAGAGTTCGGAGGGGCTCAAGGCCGGCTCTCGGAGTCTAGGTTCCAGCCTTCCTTTTGGGGGTTCCGAGTCTGAGCCTGGGGTGCGCCAGCTCCAGATTTAAGGCTGGGGGTAGGTGGATGATGGAGACAGCAGATCTAGGCTCGGGGTGGACAGGTGAGCGATGGGTCCGAGCCTGGGAGATGGACGGAAGCTCCCAGCTGAAGCTTCTAGTCTATGGATGGGGAGGAGAGGATGCATTTGAGGCTGGAGGTGGAAGCTCAGGGTCTGAGGCCCAGATGGAGGGTTGGAGGCTCGGATCCGAGGCTCAGAGTGCAGGCTGACAGCCACCCGCTCCCCACCCCGGTGGGCAGTTTGCTGTAGTGCAGATCGACACGGCCCGGGAGCTGGAGGACGCCAACTTCCTCCTGGAGAGCTATCTGAACCTGGCACGCAGCAACGAGAAGCTGTGCGAGTTCCACAAGACCATCTCCTACTGCAAGACCTGCCTCGGCCTGCCTGGCACCAGGGCGGGTGCCCAGCTCGGAGGCCAGGTCAGCCTGAGCATGGGCAATGCCTTCCTGGGCCTCAGCCTCTTCCAGAAGGCCCTGGAGAGCTTCGAGAAAGCCCTGCGCTATGCCCACAACAACGACGACACCATGCTCGAGTGCCGCGTCTGCTGCAGCCTGGGCAGCTTCTATGCCCAGGTCAAGGTGGGCCCGGGCCCCAGGGGCGGGGGTGGAGGGCTCAGCTCCCCGAGAGCCTCTCTCGAGCCACCCTCCCTGTTGTGTTACTTCGTTCAGTCCTCCATTCAGGCAGGGACGAGGCGGACAAGAGTCTGAGAGGGAAAAGACGAATTAGCCAGGAAGGGCAGAGCCAGAATTCAAACCTTGATCTGTCTGATTTCCTAGGGGAATAGGAGGCTCCTGTGTGAGGACAGGCAGTGAACCTGCACTGCCGTGGGTTTGCTGTGTGATCTTGGACACCTCACCTGTCCTCTCTGAACCTTGCTAGGTATATCTATAAAATGAGGGAGAATAGGACCCACCTTACAGCATGGTTGAAAGGATTCAGTCATCCTCTATTTATTGAGCATCTACTAGATCCCAGGCACTGTTGGCCTGGGGTGCAATCAGTGAAAACAATAGCAAAGTCCCTGGCCTCAGAAGGCTTGCATTCTACTTGGGGGAGAATGACAAATAAACACAATCAGTAAGTCACTTATAGAGCGTGCTAGAAAGTGCTTAGGAGAAAGGGAAGCAATTAAAGAGGGTGGGAGGTGCTGAGGATAGGGTGTTGCAATTTCAAACAGGGTGGTCGGAAGGCCTCCTACAGGTGACGTCCGAGGACTTGAAGGAGATGGGAAGGTGAGCCATGCAGAAATCTAACAAAAGAGCAAAAAAGAGGGAACAGCTAAAACAAAGCTCTGCCCTGGGGGGAGCATAGCTGGCACGTTCCAAGAAGGATGGAGGCCAGCATGGCTGCAGCAGGTGCGTGAGAAGAGGTGGGGGGGATCAGAGAGGTAGGGGGAGGGGGGAAGGCAGACTGTGAACGAACGGATGGGGCCAGTGACCGCAGGCCTCTGGTCCTGAGCACCCGTTCTCTTTCCCCCTAGGTATCCAGGCTGCGCTTGGCCCATGGGGGATGTTAATGCCTGGCACATAGTAGATGCTTAATAAATCCTGGGGCCAATGAGTGTGTTGATGCTGATGGATCAGGGCTGGGGTGTGAGGAAGTGAGTCCTCCGGGATGACACTGAGGATTATTTTTCAGCAACTAGATGTATGGAGAAGACGTTAGTGAGATGCAATAGGACTGGAGAGGGGTAGGGGCGTTTTAAAACCTTTTTTATTTTTATAAAGAAAATTAACCATCAGGAAAGTAGAGAGAATAATCTAATGAATCCCCATATCCCCCCCACTTAGATTTAACCATTCTTAATATTTTGCTATATTTGACTTAAATATTTTTAACTGGAGTGTTGTGATGTAAAATTATAGACATCAGGATATTTTACCCCAAAGTAAATTAGTATGCAACTCTGGGAGAACAAAAAAAGGGGACATTTTCTTATATAAGGACACTTTCTTACATAATCGCAACATGAGCAATTATCTCTTAAATTTCTCTACTTACCCTGAAAATATGCCTTTACCCTCTGCTTGTTTGAATTGGAACACAAACAAGAGTCACACATTGCAGTGGTTATTATGTCTCTTAAGTCCCTCTCAATAGAAAATCCCTACCCTGCTCTTTATTTTCCATGATTTATTGAAGAAGCCACAGTAATTGCCTTCTAGAATGTTCCGTCGCATTGTCTCACTGCTTCCTCGAGGAATCACGTAACTTGTTCCTTTATCTCCTTTACTTCCTATGAGCTGGAACTTAAATAATGACTTGGTAAGACTGAGGTTACACATTTTTGGGAAGAATACTGTATAAGTGATGCTGTGTTCTTCATATGACGTCATATCAGATAGTTGAGGGAGGGGCAACCTGGTGCCTCCGTCTTAGGGTTTGCATTTTTCCTTTCACTACCAGCAGGTTAATTTGTATGGGGACACTTTGGCACCCTGTGAATCTGCAGTTCTGCAACGTTTTCTCTTAGGGTTTCAGCATCCGTGGTGTTTGTGGCCTAAATCAATTCTTTTGTTTCAATTCTAATGAAATGGCGATTTCCACTTTCTAGCATTCCTTCTACAATTATCAACTTGGATTTTTCTATAAGGAAGAACTTTCCCTCATCAGCTGGGGCCAGTTGCTTATTCTGAAACACAGGTCCTAAAAGAAAGGCAGAATAAATATTTTCTCCTTCCCTTAATTACCCCTTTTCAGAAGAAGGCGTTGATGTAATAACTGCCTTCAGTGGCCACACTGGTTTGTTTTGCCTTCTCTTTTTGGAGTATCATTATGAAATCGTGGATTTTTTTTATATTTAGTGTTTTTCAGTTAATCGCAATCATTCTTCGTTTTGATGCTTATATTATCTTCACTTTAGCCCGTGAAATTCCCTTTGATATGGTTCCTGTGTCCTTTTCTTTTTGATTTTTTTTTTTAAAGATTTTATTTTTCCTTTTTCTCCCCAAAGCCCCCCGGTACATAGTTGTATATTCTTCGTTGTGGGTCCTTCTAGTTGTGGCATGTGGGACGCTGCCTCAGCGTGGTTTGATGAGCAGTGCCATGTCTGCACCCAGGATTCGAACCAACGAAACACTGGGCCGCCTGCAGCGGAGCGCGCAAACTTAACCACTCGGCCACGGGGCCAGCCCCATTTCTTATTAATTTTTAATTTATTTTTATTTATTTTCTTTAGGAAGATCAGCCCTGAGCTAACATCTGCTACCAATCCTCCTCTTTTTGCTGAGGAAGACTGGCCCTGAGCTAACATCCGTGCCCATCTTCCTCTGCTTTATATGTGGGACGCCTACCACAGCATGGCATGCCAAGCAGTGCCATGTCCGCACCCAGGATCTGAACCTGCGAACCCCAGGCTGCCAAAGCGGAATGTGCGCACTTAACTGATGAGCCACCGGGCGGGCTTCCTGTGTCCTTTTGACAAGACTTCATTTAGTCCTTGAAAACTTTCTTGTTTTCTGGCACAATAAACTCTCCCAGGGTCACTTTGTATATTCCCTGCCCCAGACCTAGAATCAGCCATTTCTCCGGGTTCTTTATAGTGGGAAACGGTATTTAAAGACCAAATGCTGTGGGCCGGCCCCTGGTGGCCGAGTGGTTAAGTTCTCGCGCTCCACTTCCGGCGGTCCAGGGTTCGGATCCTGGGCGCTGACATGGCACCGCTGGTTAGGCCATGTTGAGGCAGCGTCCCACATCCCACAGCTAGAAGGACCCACAATTAAAATATACAACTATGTACTAGGGGGCTTTGGGGGAAAAAAAAAAAAAAGCAGGAAAAAAAAAAGATTGGCAACATTTGTTAGCTCAGGTGCCAATCTTTAAAAAAAAATAAAAAATAAAAAAATAAAGACCAAATGCCAGCTCTCAGGGTGCTCATGGCCACTGGGTTGTCATTGCTTCTTTTTTCTTTTATTTTTTTATTTTTAAGATTGGCACCTGTGCTAACATCTGTTGCCAATCTTTTTTTGTTGTTGTTGTTCTTCTTCTCCTCAAAGCCCCCTGGTACATAGCTGTATATTTTTAGTTGTGGGTCCTTCTACTTGTGGCATGTGGGATGCCGCCTCAGCATGGCTTGACCACTCGGCCATGGGGCCAGCCCCTGTCATTGCTTCCAAATCTTTTCAGTTACCAGGACAACTGAAGTTTCTATTGCTATTTCCAATTCAAATAGAATGTGTCTGGATTTTCCTTAATTTATTTTAAACCTGATTCTCTTTTCTCTTAGACTGAAAATCTTGGTTTCTAACAACATAATTAAATATTTACTTTATCCTACAAAATAAAATACTTTCAAAAGACAACACCAATATTTCTCAAAGAGACTTCTGAAGGAAGTTTAAGATATTTTTGCCATTCTTTGTCTTTATAATATATTCCACTATGGATAAACTGTCCAAGTATATGCTCTAGGGTCATTTGAAATAATTTTTTTTCTGTGTGATTATATGAACACAATATATTATATTATATATAATATGTATTATATATAATATAATACATTGAATAATATTATATTAATTTACATTATATTATAATATTACATATAACAATATAGTATAATATAACATAGTTTATTATAATATATAATAACTAATTACAATATAATATTAATATAATGATATGCAGTTAGGGTCACTTATTTCGTTTTTTTTTTTTTAAGATTTTATTTTTCCTTTTTCTCCCCAAAGCCCGCTGGTGCACAGTTGTATATTTTTGGTTGTGGGTCCTTCTAGTTGTGGCATGTGGGACACCACCTTAGCATGGCTTGATGAGCAGTGCCATGTCTGTGCCCAGAATTTGAACTGGCGAAACCCTGGGCCACAGAAGTGGAGCGTGTGAACTTAACCACTTGGCCATGGGGCCGGCCCACCATTTTCTATTTTTAAAGTTTTTAAATTTTAATTTAATTTTTTAAACCTGTAAAATGTTTACACAGCTTCAAATTAAAAAATACATAACAAATGGGCCAGCCTGGTGGCACAGTGGTTAAGTTCGCACACTCTGCTTTGGCGGCCTAGGGTTCGAGAGTTCAGATCCTGGGTGTGAATCTACACACCGCTCATCAAGCCATGCTGTGGCAGCATCCCACATTCAAAAATAGAGGTGTTAGCTCAGAGCCAATCTTCCTCACCAAAAAAAAAAAAATTACATAACAAAGTATGTTACAAACCATGTTTTCTGGGGTTACTGAGAGTTCTCTTTTGCTCATATTAGCTCAGGGATGTTTGTTAGATATGAAGTGGAAGATCAGATAGGTTTTCCATGAGAAAGAACAGAGAAATGGGACTGTAGCTGAAGGGCGTATGCAATCTAAAGGTTTTTGATTTTTGTTTTTATTTTTTAAATGAGGTGAGAAATGTGGAGGGGACTGATTCAGGAGACAGAGACGGGGAATTGGGAATGGGGAGATTTGTTCAGAGCCCCCGTGGAGGGCTCACATTTGAGAGGAGCAGGGAGCCCTCCGCCAGAGTATCAGGGGGAGGTGGGGTGGGGACAGATCTGCGGGACCGATGGGTGAGATAGATAAAGAAGCTCCTCTCTGATCTTCTTCTGTCTCTGCAATGGCGTGGAAGACGAGGTCGTCGGCTCATCATGGGCAGGTAGAGAAGGCATTTGGAGGTTTGAGGAGATAGAAAGGCTGAGAGAATGATTTCATTGCCTCAGAGTCTGTCCTGATGTTCTGAGCTGACTGCACCGGCAATCAGTTCCTGAGCCTTCACTGAGCAGCTGTTGCTGGGGGCCAGGGGGCAAACTCTAGTTTGCGGGGTGCACTGACATCCTGCCTCTCTGTGTGTCTCTGAAGCTGAGGGGCCCCACTGGGACTGACTGAGAAGAGACGCCAGCTGTCTTGCTTTCTCATTCATTCATTCAACAGATATTTACTGTGTATCTACTAAGTGCCAGCACTGTACTAGGCTCTTGGGATACTCGGCAAACCAGATGAAAATCCCTGTGTCCACGGAGCCCACACTGTTGCACTGGCTGTTCCCTCTGCCTGGATCACTCTCTCCCTGGATACCCAGAGGGGAACTGTGGGCCCCTGGCTGCTGGAGAAGGCAGGCCCTGGAGCCCTCGACTTAGGGGCAGCTTCTGCCACTCACAGTGCCCTCCCATCCCGCCCCCTCCCTGTGTCCCCTGCAGGACTACGAGAAAGCTCTCTTCTTCCCCTGCAAGGCCGCGGAGCTCGTCAATGACTACGGCAAAGGCTGGAGCCTCAAGTACCGGGCCATGAGCCAGTACCACATGGCCGTAGCCTATCGCCTGCTGGGCCACCTGGGCAGTGCCATGGAGTGTTGCGAGGTGGGGCAGCAGGGAAGGGGGCAGGTGGAAGGTGGCGGTGTGGGCCAGGCTCTGGGACCTGGGGCAGCAGGGGCTCCTCTTCCCAGTCAGCCCACTGAGCGCCCCAGGGCTTGCCCCGGCCCAGCCCCTCTATAGCTGAGCCTCTGACGGCTGCATCTGTTCTGCCCTCCCCACTGCACCAAACCTCACTCCCTTCCAGTCCATTCTCAGGGGAGGGGGCTTCCCTCTGCACCCCCTTGCACCATCTGTGGGGCACTTTAATAGGAAGAGAGCAACTCTCTGGAGTTCCACTGACCAGGGTTCAAATCCCAGCTTTGCCACATACGAGCCAGGCGACCTTGACCAAGTCACTTCTGCTCTCTGAGCTTCATTGGGCACTGTGAGGCCTCAGTGCTTCAGTGCCTGGGGCCCAAGCACCATGAGAAGCGTATCGGGCTCTGAGGCTGTTGGTGATCCCAGGCCTGCCCGTCAGAGGGGCCCACTGGGGGAGGGCGCCCCAGTGGTGGGGGCAGACGAGTGGGCCTGCGTGACCGGCCTCCCTCGCAGGAGTCTATGAAGATTGCACTGCAGCACGGGGACCGGCCACTACAGGCCCTCTGCCTGCTCTGCTTTGCTGACATCCACCGGAGCCGTGGGGACCTGGAGGTGAGGTCACTGAGAGGCGGGGTGGGGGTGTGTGCAGGCCGGGCCCACCCTGACTCCACCCCCGACCTGGCTGTGCAGACGGCCTTCCCCAGGTACGACTCCGCCATGAGCATCATGACCGAGATCGGAAACCGCCTGGGGCAGGTGCAGGTGCTGCTGGGCGTGGCCAAATGCTGGGTGGCCAGGAAGGCACTGGACAAGGTGAGGGGGGCCCTTGCCTACAGCCCCAGCTCTCCCCAGGGCTCCCATGTGGGGCCTGGAGCTCAGCCAACAATCTGTGGGCGAGAACTCTGTCAGACCTTTGTCTAACATCAGCCTCACCCCAATCCCATGAGACCAGAACATTCCAAGTCATTTTCCAGGCTCAGAAAAGGCCCAGGACTTGCCCAGTCACACAGCTAGTAAAGGACCAGAGCTGGGGTTTGAACTCAGGATGCTCTAACTGCTTCCTGGGATTTCACAACACCCCGCGACACAAGAATAGTCTTCCCAGTCTGTATCTGAGTAAACTGAGGCAGGAGGTAACTTGCCCTCACAGCTCTTGTGACTGTGCCCCAGTCTCCCTGCTACCTTTACTCACAGGGCAGCTGCCCAGCCCCGTCACCCTCCCCAGACCCGCCCCCACCCCCCACCCCTTCCTTTCCTATGAGCCAAGGCCTCTATCAGACAGCTCTGCCCTGTGCTCGCCTTCCAGGCTCTGGATGCCATCGAGAGAGCCCAGGACCTGGCCGAGGAGGTGGGGAACAAGGTCAGACCTGATTCTGTCTTGTGAGTCTGGAGTCAAGACCCAAGGGTGGGGTCTTGGGTTGGGGAGACAGCCCCACTGGGCCCTCTCAGGCCCTGAGCCCTTCGTGATCTCCAGGAGCCGCCCCGGCCATCCCCAGCACACAGCTGCTTCTCTCCCACCCAGAGGGCACTTCGGAGGGCAGGGCAAGAGATCCATAGCTCAAAGGATATCAGAGTTCCTCAGGGGCTTCATGAATGCTCCCAACAGTGGCCTCCACTCCCTGAGAGCTGGGCACCACAGGGCTCTCCAGGGACCGCTTCCGGTCCTCAGTATCTCCCTACAAGGCGGGTCCAGGGAGCCCCACTTTGCAGATGACGAAAGCGAGGCTCAAAGAGGCACTCAAGGTCCCACACATGGAAACTGGTCTGTCTTAACTCCAAAGATATACACCTCTCCAAATTTAATAATCATATCCAAACTTTAAGTGTTGAAAATAGATTCAGTGTTTCTCAAAGTCTTCTGGAAGATATGCGTTTCTCTGGTATCAGGTGCACAGTCCAACTAAAATGCCAAACAGATGTGCCTTTGGCTGGATTCTAGCCACTTGGGTTCACCAAGTATCTTGGGCTGATCAGAAATGCTAAGCGGTTGTGTGCATTTAATTACCAAAAACAGGAAAGCAAATTAATTCTTAGGGAGTCAACACAGCAAGTTTGGTCAATAAAATTCCTCAAAATCGTGGGGTCCCCAGCTGGTTCTAGGGGTAAGGACCACTTGCCTCCCCCACCCCCTCATTCTGCATGGAGGGAAACCAAGGCCCAGAGAGGGCAGGATGTTTTTCCTAGGTCCACCAGCAAGGCAGGAACACGGCCAGCCCTGGACCCCATGTGTGCTGATTGCCCGGTGGCCCTGCGGAGACAGGAGGGAAGTGGGACAGCTGCTCACAGCACTGACTTGGTCTGTCCCCACGGGCCCAGCTGAGCCAGCTCAAGCTGCACTGCCTGAGCGAGAGCATCTACCGCAGCAAGGGGCTGCAGCGGGAGCTGCGTGCGCACGTCGTGCGCTTCCACGAGTGCGTGGAGGAGAGCGAGCTCTACTGCGGCCTGTGCGGCGAGTCCATAGGCGAGAGGAACAGCCGGCTGCAGGCCCTGCCCTGCTCCCACATCTTCCACCTCCGGTGAGGGGGCTCCCCGCGGCGGGCAGGGGGCACACGGGGCCTCTTGGGGGCACCCTAGGGCCCAATCACACAAGTCACGCTAACAGCAGACACTTGGCGCTTTGTGCGTCCCAAGCGCATCCTAAGGGCTTCCCATGTAGAGGAAGCCAGTCTTCTTCTTCTCCCCAAAGAGAGTTCAGAGAGGCCTCTCAAGGGTCTTGGGGTTCAGACGCCCAGGGCCAGGCCTGCCTCCATCCCCACCTCCTGACTCCCCGCCCAGGCTCTGCCCTGGAAGCCCCCTGGGCAGAGTGCGAGGGGCCAGCAGGGGCCTGACCCCCTCCCTTGATGCCTTCCCAGCCCCCACAGAGGGGAGGGGAGGGGAGGAGAGAGGGCCCAGGGGGGCAAGACGGGCTCTGTGAGTGGACAGGGCCCTTTGCCTCCTAAGGTGCCTGCAGAACAACGGGACACGGAGCTGCCCCAACTGCCGCCGCTCGTCCATGAAGCCTGGCTTTGTGTGACGCCCTCAGCAGTCTTGGGCTTCGGCCTCGCCTCCCTGCTCCTTCTCCACCGTCACCCTGGAGACCCCTGCCCTCCCTGCCTCGACGACCGTTTACTCCTGGGGCAGCTGCCAGGGACTCCCCGCTGGCACCCCTCGAGGCCCAGTTGCCCTCTCTCGCCTCTTCGTACTTTGCTCTTTATAGGAAAATAAACCGTTTGTACCTGGTCCCAATGATTCTGACTTTCCCTCCCAAGGTCTGAGGGTGGGGGGAGTGTGGGAGCAAGGCTCCTCGCGTGAGCTTCCTCAGACACACACGTCCCTCTGCACACATGTCTGAGTGTCTCCAGCTGCCCTTCCAGGTTCGTGGGGTGCCACAGTGAGCCAGAGACAAACATCCCCGCCTGTGAGGAGCTGCTGACGTGCAGGAGTGGGGAGAAGGATGCGATAAACAGTAAACGTGATAAACAAGCAACGTGGAAAGTTAGAAAGATGCGATGGACTGAATTGGTCCCCCAAATTCAGATGTTGGAGCCCTGGCCCCCCATGTAACTAAGTTAGGAGATGGGGCCCTTAGGGAGGTAATTAAGACTGAAGGAGGTCATTAGGGTGGGGCCCTCATCCGTTAGGACTGGTGTCCCTATAAGAAGAGGAAGAGACACCAGAGAGCTTTCTCTCTCTCTCCGCGCTGCACAGAGAACAGATTGTGTGAGGACACAGCAAGAGGGCAGCCACCCGCAAGCCGGGAAGAGAGGCCTCACCAGAAACCGAATTTTCTGGCACCTTGATCTTGGACTTCCCAGCCACCAGAACTGAGAGGAAATAAATTTCTGTTGTTTAAGCCCCCCAGACTATGGTATTTTTTATGGCAAAAACCAGCAGACTGACACAAAAGCGATAAGTGCTTTGGAACAATAAAGAATAGAGCAGCGTCCTTCTTCCTCATCTTCATCCCCTTCCCTTCTCTTCAGTCCTGAGACCATCAGGTGGGACAAAGCAGGACAGACATCCATGGGGAGGGTTGGCCTGCTGTGGGGTGTTGGAGCCCAAGCAGGTGGGATCTGTCCACACAGGGGAAGCCCCAGTGCGGGGAGGTAGGGGTTGCGTGGAGAGAGAAAGGCATCCTCAAATATGGGTTTCTCATCCTGGAGTGTCAGGGACCAAGTAGGGTGAGAAAGGAGTTCATATGAGGGTGAGGCTTGGTGCTGCGTGTTGGAGCCAAGCAAGGTGAGGAGGATATCCATGCAGATGAGCAGTCTGGGAGCTGGAACGTGAACAGGGCAAGGAGAGTGTCTATGCACAGGGCAGCCTGGTGCCGTGTGTCAGGGCCAGAGCAGGGTGCTGAGGACACCCTGGAGGAGAAAGGCCTAGCATGCGGAGGTGGGGCCTGAGCAAAGTGAGGCAGGCATCCACATGGTGGTGGTGGGCATGGCTCGGCCCAGTGCAGAGTGTCAGAGACCAAATCGAGCAAGGAGGGCAGCCTGGCATGGGTCTTTGGGCCTAAGCAGGATGAGGAGGTATGCAAGTTGGGGAAGGTCAGGTGTGTGGTGTCAGAGCTTGAGTAGAGTGAACAGGACATAGACGAACAAAGATGGAGTGAAGAAGGATCTGTGGGTGAGAGAGAGTGGCAATGAGAAATTGGTTTTGTAGAGAAGATTGAGCAAATGAGTAAATATGTGAAGGGTAATGGGAGCCAGGTCACTATTGAAGAAGAGAGTTACAAATAAGGACAGGGAGAAAATCAGAAGCGACTCCGGGGCCGGCCCAGTGGCGCAGCAGTTAAATTCGCATATTCTGCTTCTTGGTGGCTCGGGGTTCGCCAGTTCGGATCCCGGGTGCGGACGTGGCACCACTTGGCAAAAAGCCATGCTGTGGTAGGTGTCCCACGTATAAAGTAGAGGATGATGGGCATGGATGTTAGCTCAGGGCCAGTCTTCCTCAGCAAAAAGAGGAGGATTGGCAGTAGATAGCTCAGGGCTAATCTTCCTCAAAAAAAAACAAAAGAAGAAGGGACTTTGTGGTGTTGAATTGGAATTGTAGGGATCAGTGTGGATTCATGGATTTCAAAGTAAAAAGCTAAATAGAGAAATAAATATAGTTACAGATGTGTGTGTGTGTGTGTATGTGTGTGTCTGCGTGTGCAATGGCCTGGGAGTGACATGCCAGTAGCAATGAGCACCTCTAACACTCAGATTGTGGCTTCTAAATACCATGATCCACTAAAAGGAACCAAGGTTCTTTAGAGAAATGGCTGATTCTAGCCCTGGACCAAGGAAAGTACAAGATGAACCTGGAATATCCTGTGTCAGAAAGCAAAGAAAACTGAAAGAATGATGAGAATAACACAAAAGGACACAGGAGCCGGCTCGAACGGACTCCCATTCACTCATTAATAATGATTAAGAATGACTGTCCTCACCAGCTCAGGCTGCCATAACACCATACGACAGACTGCAGGGCTTAAACAGCTGAGATTTATTTTCTCACAGCTTTGGAGACTGAAAGTGCAAGATCGAGACACCAGCAGGGTTGGTGTCCGGTGAGGCCTCTCTCCTTGGGTTGCAGACGGCTGCCTTCTCACTGTGTCCTCACGTGGCCTTTCCTCTGTTCTTTTACGTGGAGAGAGAGAAACAGAGAGAGATCTCCTCCTCTTCTTATAAGGCCACTGATCGCATCATGAGGGCCCCACCCTCATGACCTCGTCTAACCCTAATTGCCTCCTAAAGGTCCCATCTCCAAAGACCATCTCATTAGGGCTTCGACATAGGAATTTGGGGCTGGGGGTGGGACACAAACTCAGTCCGTAGCAATGATACTAACAGATTTTGTTGGATAAAACAAGAATCCACAGAGGAAGATGGGCACTGATGTTAGCTCAAGGCCAGTCTTCCTCAGCAAAAAGAGGAGGATTGGCAGATGTTAGCTCAAGACTGATCTTCCTCAAAAAAAACAAAAAAAAACAAGAATCCATACTGATGTAAATGAATTAATTAAAAATTTGATGAAGAATGGAATATGTACATCGTTCCAAAGTACTTCCCCCCAAAATACTTATTGGTTTCAAGAGGATGAGAGAGTGCCTTCACAGTAGAGAGGATGAGCCAGACATCAGATTGATCATGTGGAAGAAGTTAGAGTAATGGGACCAGTGAAGTCAGTGGCTACCTGAACGAGTACAATGAGACCCTCACCATCTCTTCTGTGCTATTCCTGCCAAATGTGAACCACCGGAATGTAAAATCGTGAGGAAACACCGGATAAACACAAATTGACAAATAATGTACAAAGTAACTAATCTTCAAAAGTGTCAAGGTCATGAAGGCAAGGAAAGACTGAGAAAGGATTCCAGATTGGAAGAGACTGTAACTAAATACAATGCTTGATTCTGGTCTTGAGTCTGGGCTGGATCCCTTTGCTGTAAAGGACATTATTGGGACAATAGGTGACACTTGAATGGGGTCTGAGGATTAGACGGTCGAAACACGTCGACGTTAACTTCCTGCCATGAAGGTCGTGTTGTGGTTAAGTAGGAGAATGACTTGGTTGTAGGAAATTCCCACCTGAGTATTTGAGATGATGTGATATCTGGTCAGCAGTTTGCTCTCAAATGGTGCAATGAAAAATGTTATTTGTGTTGTATTTGCAACTTTTCTCCGGGTTTAAGATTGTTTTCAAAATAAAAATGTACAATTAAAAAAAGAGTAGAGTAGGGTAAGGAAGCGAGGGCTGGGGCAGGGAGAGGCAGGCTGCAGCTTTAAAGATCTGTTTTTTCCTTTTCCTTCTTCTCACCAAAGACCCCCAGTACATAGTTGTCTAGTCTAGTTGTGGGTCCTTCTGGTTGTGCTATGTGGGACGCCACCTCAGCATGGCTTGATGAGCGGTGCCATGTCCGTGCCCAGGATCCGAACCGGTGGAACCCTGGGCTGCTGAACCAGAGCCCGTGAACTTAACCACTTGGCCACCCCTAGGCTGCAGCTTTAAAAGGCTATAAGGGTAGGCCTGGATGAGAGGAGGCATTTGAGCAAAGACTTGAAGGAGGTGAGGGGGTGAACCAAGCAAGTATCCTGGAGAGAGCATTGGAGGAGAAAGGAACGGAGTCCTAGACTGGCCTGGTCACGGAGCAGCAAGGGGGCCTGTAACTGTGAGCAGGGAGGAAAGGGGTGGGAGCCGAGGTGCTGGAGGAATTCTCAGGGCAGGGAGAACACACAGGGCCCTGCGGGCCGTTGCGAGGACTCGTGCTGTGAGTGAGCTGGGCAGCTGCTGCACGGTTGCAAGCAGAGGAGTGACATGACATGACTAGGTTTTAAAAGAATTCCTTTGGCTGCTGTGTTGAGAAGAGACTACACGAGACAACTGGCCTGGATGCTTCAAAAATGTCAGTGTCGTGAAAGACCAAAAAAAGACTGGGAGATTATTCTAGATTAAGGGATGCTAAAGAGACATGACAACGGATCGTGATGTGTGATTGTTGACTTGATACTGGATTTTTTTTTTAAAGGCTAGAAGGGATGTTTGGGGGATACTGAAAAAATTTTCATACGGACTGCATATTAGATATTACTACATCAATCTTAAGTTCCTTAAGTATGACAATATATCATACCATAATGTACTGTAGTTACATATGAGAATGTCTTTATTCTTAGGACACACCGCTGAAACTTTGACAGGTGAAGTGTCGTGATGTCTGTAACTTACTTTGAAATGGTTCAGAAAAACACATGCGCACAGAACAAAAGGAAATGTGGCAAAATGTGATCAACTGATGAATCTAAGTGAAAGCTATACAGGTATTCATTGTCTATTCTTTCAACTTTTTTATATATTTAATATTTTTCAAATTATCAACTTTAGGAAGTATATTAGTCAGGATTCTCCAGAGGAACAGAACCAGTAGGAACCACATATATATGTATATATATGCATATATGTAAAGAGATTTCTTATAAGGAATTGGCTCACGCAGTTATGGAGATGGGCAAGTCCCGAGATCTGTAAGGTGAGTCAGCAGGCTAGAAACCCAGGAATACTGATGGTTTAGTTCTAGTCCGAGTCAGAAGGCCTGAGGACCAGGAGAGCTAATGATGTAACTTCTAGTCCAAAAGCTGGCAGGCTCAAGACCCAAGAAGAGCCCATATTTCAGTTCAAGTCCAAAGTCAGGAAAAGATCGATGTCCCAGCTCAAGGCAGTCAGGCATGAGGAGTTCCCTCTGCCTCAGGGGAGGGTGA